AGTAGGGGTGGGAATCTTTGGGCACCTCACGATTCGATTACGATTACGATTCAGGGGCTACGATTCGATTATAAAACGATTATTGATGCATCTTTAATTTATGTATATTGATGCACTTTTTCACAACACACATTTCTTTTTGTCTCACTGAATAAGCATTCAACACTTGCAATTTTTAAAAACAGTGCATTTGTAATAAGAAAGAGTTGAATTCATTTCCATTATATTTTATTAAACATATAAATGGAAATGCTTGCAAACTGTAAAGTTACAACTTCGTTGTACGGAACCAAAGGTAACAACAGGTATCTTAAATCACAAGATAAAATGTGCAGTTTGAGTAACAAATGATTCGGTGGCGACAGACGTCCACGCATCACATGTAACCGCGTTTCTACCTGCCTGCCTTCAACAGTGAGGCCATGACTTCTGTTTTGGTTTGATGGTAGAGTGTCGGTGAAATAGCGTCGGGATGGGATGGTGTATCTGGGCTCCAGTGTATGCAGCAGTGCTCGAAATCCCTTATTTTCCACGACAGAATAAGGACGCAAATCCTTGGCAATAAATGCCGCGATGGCCTTCATAATTAGCTTCGCCTTTTCCGATGAGGGTGGCAGCTTTCTAATTGCTTCCTCGATTGTTCTCTGGTCGGTAGCGCCACTAGTAGCCGCAGCAACAACAGCCTGCCATCTCCCTGACTCCTCCATCAGGTGGAATCGAGTTACATGGCTTCTCATGTTTGTTGTGTTGCCAAAGTATTTTATTTTGGCACGACACAGCTTACATATAACGTGGCTCTTGTCCAGTTCGCTTCCGCCATCAACGCTGTAGAAGCCAAAGTATTTCCACACATCTGCTTTTAAATTAGAAGAAGCTGTTCAGCTCTCACGGCGAGGTGGGTAGAGGTCAGCCATGTTTGTTTTCCTCTGTGCGCGTGTCGTCGTGTCTGCTCCAGGTGCGCATCCCAAAGTGTCCCGGAGATGACACGTACCGCGCTTCTTAGTTCCGCATTATTTAGAACCTTCTGTATTACTCTAATTAACAGATTTAAATAATCGAAATTTGGACGTTTGTGAATCGATTCAGATTCGTCCACGTCCGAATTGCGATGCATCTAAGAATCGGAAATTTCCCCCACCCCTAGTTGGAAGGCCCTCTGAACAATGTGGGCCTCCTCATCAACAGGATCCTCGATGAAGGGGCATGCCATTATTTCCTAATTTACTCTCTCTCTCTCTGTCTCTGTGCCTCTCTGGGTGTGTCCCTCTCCTTCTCTGGCCATTGTCAGTTGACCTTAATTGGCTGTGAATTTGCTAGCCAATTGGAAACAGAGTGGGGTGGGGATGGGAGGGCAATCACATATTCATGTACAATATTTTTTTTAATGCCTCAGTTTCATTTTATTATAGTTTTGCTTTTATTAAATTGATTTTGGCTTTACTGTTGTGTTTTTTTTTTAAATTATCTTATTTTATTACATTTTAATTTGTTTTTTAATAGTTCATTTTTTTTATTAATTATGTTATATATTTTATGATCTACATATTATTTTATCATTACATGCACTAGCAGAACTGTCTTTTAGGTGTCTGTTCTTGTCCATTGAACATTTTTTGATCATAGATGGAGCTAATCCTCACCTTAATCCTGCTACGGACCAGGATTGCCTGGCAGCATAAATTACCATGGTTACTAGGCTGGGATTCAGGTTAACCACCTTGATGGAACGAGCTGTGGCTCAGGTTGATGGAATGGAAACCGGAGTTTAGCTCGATGTATCAGGCTTAGCCAGAACCATGGTTTCCATGGTTACCGATGTGAGGCTAATCTTTGATGGAACAGAACTCTGGCTCACATTAGCCAGACTTGGCCATTTAAGGCTGGATTTGCCTGTAGCCTGCTTGAATACCCCCCTGAAGGCAAACTTCTCCAAACAGCCATAAAACTCAGATTAACAACAAGATCATTCAACAAAAGTATAACATTCAGATCAGTATTAACTGTTGTGAAGGTTCATGAACAAAATAATTATAAAGGATAAAGGATTAATAAAATAAAGTAAATAAACTTAAATTTAATTGATTTTTGGTAATCACCCATTATTCGCTCCAAAATCCAAAATATTTCCACTCTGCTGATTTATTCCTGAGTAAATAATGTAAATAAAATAAATAAAGATGACGATATGGATCGATGTTTTCACTTTGCATCGATGTGATTGGATCGTCGATAGATAGATAGATAGATAATCTTAATACCTCAAAATATTATGTCCTGCTGACAAATTGTGTTTTTAACCAAGCTAGACCAGAGAATATTAGGTTGGAAGAAGGAAATGACTAAATGACTAGAGTAACAGGCAAACCAGCTTTAAAAGGGACATATTTTCTTTTTAGGAAGTGCTGTGTCGTGCATCTAATTAATGCTGATCTACTTAATCCAGCCTTAATGGGGCTTTAGAAACAAAAACTGGAGTTAAAAAGATTTACATAAGCCTTGTCGCTGTCTTAATTACATATTGAATCTTGTGTATTTCCATGTAGAAATAGAAAATTGAAATATTGTGGTTTTAGGAGCAGTTGAAGCTGCGAATAAGCACAGGCTGCCACACCCTGGTCTTTCAAGTCACTTTGTACAGGCTCTAGAGAGACGAAATGACTGATGTAGGTTAATCAGTGATCAGTCATATCATCTGACTTTGACACAGCAGAGTAAGATTACAAAGAAGCACATTTCCCAAAACACTTTATTCCTTTGAAAACTTTGCTGAGCACTCCAAATATGAGGCTTTGTAACTAGGGTCCTGGGATACTGGGGTCCATCCTGTACATTCCATATTACATTACATGATTTATGGTATCTAGTTCCTCTTCATTGTATGAGACAGACATGACACCTCCAGAATGATCCAGTCCCTACCTACCATTCTGCATGCGATCTTTGGTTAACCAGATAGCCATGCCATCTCCATTCAAATTCTTCTTTCCCTGGCCATGGATTTTAAAGTGCACCTTAAGCTCCCAATCCCGCACGAAGAAAGGCTGGAAAGTAACAGAAATAAAGACAAGCAGGTTATTACTGTGCTATGCTATTTCTAGTATGTATTTGTCAATGGAATTGAGCAACAGACAAAAACTTGTGGAATTTTATAGAATCAGTAAATAAGGGTATGTGTAAGAGCTGCACAATAATGTAAAAATAACTGACATTACAATATTTTTTTGTCTGCGATGTATATTACAATATGGAATCTTCAGCAGATGACTTGAATAACTCTGTTTGTAAATAATAAATCAGTCTGGAATTAGTGGTGTGATTTTGTATAGAAAAGGAAAACAACAGCAAAAGCTGAGAAATGACTTTTACTTTGAAGACATTTTGGAGGGGGAAATTAAGTAGTTTAAAACACTGATTGACTCACCACAACACGGCTATATTCATATAACACTTTTCTATCAATCCAGGCTAAACTCAGTGATCTAAATGTCATATTAATAATGCAATTTACAGCCTTGTGACTGCGAACTGTAGGTGGGAGACCTCTGGTTTCTTAGGCTATTAGCTTTAACCTGCCTCTGTTCACTAGCTTTTACAGTCCAGCACCTCTGTGGTAAAGAATGGTCAGGAGACGTGATAACATTGCAAAAAACAGATGCTTTATATCTTCTGTGCAGCTAACACAAACAATGTCCTTCTTACAGTCATTAAACCAGAACTTGAGCTTATCTGGACACTTTCTGTTGACTGCTGTGGCTTTGGAAAAACGCACGCTTCACTGTGTCTGTGGCACTTACCTGTCCACTTACTGTACTTTTCTACACACACACACACGCAGGAAAGTCTCATTTTCCATAACAAACGTCACTAGACTATAGCCATTTTTACACAGGGATGGCGCTAAAGAGCTGCCTCCAAGTCCCTCCATCATGCTGCACCTTCAAGAGGTGTGACAATCCTGACATTTAACAGCGTCAGCCTCTAGTGTGACATATAAAATACACGTTGGCAGCATTTTATAAACAATTACAATGACATAAAATGTCAATAATCATTTACCGTCTCTGTTATATGGCAGCTGATTTCATTCTCTGCTCCGAGGCATTTTCCCAATTTGCAGACATTTTTGGCTGTTTTTCTTCAAATTAGCTGCTAACATCTACTTTTTAAATCTCTTGCAGCAGGTTGCACACATAACATGTTGTCAAAACGTCACACTTGTCCCATCCATGATCCCATCCTGCAGGCTGTTGTGCTTATACAGACATCATTTCTGTGCTGTTACTACCTCTGTTCCCAGATAAGAGGCAAGACAACTCTGCCCCAACATTCTGCTATTGTACCTTTTATACTAGGGCTGCAGCTATTGATTCTTTTAGTAATCGAGTATTCTATTGATTATTCTGGCGATTAATCAAGTAATCGGATAAGAAGTACTGCGTGTTTTTATTAGATTAATTTAGCTGTATTTAAGGACAATATATAATAAAGAAAATAAGAAAAGTCTCTGAAATAAGAGAAATGAGCAACACGTTTGTTTCCTTTTTTGAAAGTCAGAGCTGTCAACCAGTCCTGATTCAGTACAGGATGCAGTTTGTCCCGTATTTCTGTGGAAAGAGTTTAACGAGACATACTGGAGAAATATTAAATCAAGAGGAGAATGTCACATAACGGCAGGTCTGTCACTCAGTGTCATCGTTGCCATAATTACGGAGACTCAGCTCAGGACGACTGCTCACTGACCCGCTGACTGACTGATAAAGTTATCTGAAGGTCCCTTTACGCCCGGATATTAAACTTATGGAGCTTACGGATTCATAAAGCCTCACGTGCACTTATATCTCAGTCATTGTGGAGCTGGGTGCGCATGCACAAACTTTGTTTACTCTCACACTGTGAGACACAAATTGATGCAGAAACACCCTTCAATCAGTTTGCATATCGATATCTGTGCCCGTTTAGATCTGTCAGTTAAAAATACGAAGAAGTGCAGTTTTACAGACTGTCTTGCAGCAACATGGTTCTCCGACAGAACAGCTGTCATTACGCCATTACGCACGGCTGTGGCTATTAGTAGCGCCCGTGCCACTAATTCATCACATGTAGCCCTACCTGCAAACCATCATGGCAGTGATATTGCAATCTTCATTATACATGGATGCAAATAGGTGTATGGTCAAAAAAAGAGAGAGCTTGTCAAAGCAAAATTCTGAATATTAATATACATGAACACTAATTTGGAAGAATATTGTGTATTCCAAAACAGATCAAATCCATTGAGCCATCATGGCCATCTTGCTAGAGGTCCAGATCTTTATACATTTCTTCATGCTCTTTACATTGAACAAAGCGGGTAGATTGGCCTACTACAAATAACATGTCAGTTTCAAACTAAGAGCCATCTGAATATCCTGGGGCAAGTGCCCTTAAGTGTTGGATAACAGTTTTACATCTGGACTGTATGATTAAAAAAAAAAAAAAAAAGAATAAATGAATGAATGAAAATTATATAAGTACAGAAGTTGCATACAAGCCATTTTACTTTCACTGTAACAGTGCTGGTATGCTGAACAAGATCTGAATGATGAGTACATATTCCACACAGAATCTGAATCTGCACACTGCCTTTGAATCGTCCCCCTCTTGAAGTCAAGTCTTTTAATCCTCTCTCTTTTCTACAAATCTTTATTGTATTCTAAACAAGTGGTTCACGCTTGCGCAGTTGTTTTGCACGCAGCACTGTCATCTGCACATTTCATTTGTGTTAGTGGAATTACTAACCAGACTCTTCCATGTCCATGCCAACTCTACAGCGGAAGTAACATAAGCAGGTTGGCTAACAGACATAAACATTTACGAGAAACTCAGTGCGCTGTATAGTTGTACTGGATTTAACAAAGCCAGTTATCGGATTATTCGAGTTACTCGAGGAATAGTTTCAGCTCTATTTTATACACAACGGTGAGGTGACGAAGCGGCAAATCAGCATAAAATTCCCGCCTTGAAGAGGCAGAGTAAAAAGGGCTTACTTCACATACACACATAACCTGTTTTAAAGGAGAAGGTTTGGCCAGTAAGATATGAAACATGTTTGACATGTTTGAGTTAATTTGCTTTAATCACACATCCTGCGACGTAACTATTGCACATGCATACATCACGATGTCTATGCTGAAACAATATATCGTTCAGCACCAATGTATTATATTGATAAAATGCTTAATAACTTCATATTGAATTCATGTTAAGTGGGCATGTTTAAGTGTTTACTATGCAGGAATTGTCAGTTACGTTTTGTAAACAATGTCACAACCGAAAGTGAAAGCCAACCCCAGATTCACTCCTGTTCGCTAAATTTGCGTTTCTTCTGTGCTGTGTCTGATTTTCATGGCTTCCTCTTGAATGCCTGCTACATACACCATCACACACTTCTAGTGAGTGACAAGTGAAGACTGAAAGTGATTTCTTTTGTTTGACTCTACACGCTGTTTTTTTTAGGTAAATGTTGCATCGTAGGCTGTAACTTTACTGTGTACTTTTCTGACAGTTTTAGAATAACTGTGTGAAAGTGGGGTAGGATGTGAGGGTGGAGGTATGGAATGTCTGGTAGTGATGTAGTGTAGGTGGGTTTTGAAGTTAACTGCAGCAGACTTACAACTCGACTCCACACAGCTCCCTGTCTGCTCTGCAGGTCTGGGGTCAGCCTCACATGGTCAGGTGTAACCATAGCAGTGCCCATCAGATCCCACTGTGAAGAACTAGAGAAACCCAACCCTGCAGAATAGAATATACCTTTTAGCTACAGCATAAACAACAGTACCTGCACTTTATAGGGAGCCCTCCAACTATTCTGTCAATTCTGTCAATGAACAATACAACATAACAGTTGTATTGAAATATGTTGGCGCCACCCTGGATGGTTAGGGTTAGGTCCAGGTTCAGCCAAGTGGAAAACACAAACAATGGGGAAACAGCCTTTGACACAACACCAGGGGTCCGTTTCACAAAGCAGGTTCAACAAACTCTGAGTCTAATCCTGAACTCTGAGTTGATCTACTCTGAGATAGGAAACTCTGAGTTTCCTGTTCCAGAACAGCTGATTTGAATCAGTTTAATCAACTCGGAGTAGTTTCACCTGGAGTTAAGTGCGTGCACCACAACTATAAAAAGCCAGCATTAATGGAGCCCCGATTCTACGAGTCACCATGGCAACGGGGAAGAGGAGGGCTGCGTTTTTCACCCCACTAGAATTAGAAAACTTAATGCGCTCATATGGCAAGTTTGCACACGTTTTCAAAAAGAAGTGCAACACCGCTGCAGCTGCAAAACAGAAGGAGACAGCGTGGGAGAACATTGCTGCTCGGGTCAATGCGTAAGTTTAAATGTAGTCCTTTCAATCACAATAATGTTACAGGGGAAACTGCTTGAATGGTAGCCTATTAATTTATTTCATTTAGGTGCAATCCTGCAGGGGAGAAGCGCACTTGGCAGCAGCTTAGGATGAAATATAAAAACATTGTTCAAACAGGTAAGACCTCGGCATAATCTCATGGGGGTACCTCATTTTGATCATGTTTTACATTGTAAAGTAAATATTAAGTGTTTGTGCAGTTGTTTTATCCCCAACATAATGCTGTTTTCACACACATAAATGTCTTCTCATCTATATCATGTTCTGTTAAATAATTAAGCCTATTTAAACTAACACAGACTTCTACTCAGCCAACAGAAAGAAGGCAGATGCCCATAAAATGAGCACACTACAGTTGCCTTACTCAAGTGCTCAGCATCTCCGACATTGTACAAAAAACTTCCATTTGCAAAGAAACGCAGCGCAACACACAATATCTGCTGGGATGTGAGAGCATGACTACGATTGGTAATGTTGCAAATGTAAGGACGGATTAGGTTGTGTATGTAGATGATGGACTGTGACGTGAAACAAAAAAGATAATTGTCTGGAAATGCTAGTACATCTATGCGCGGTCTGATAACCATCTCCTAACGAATATTTAATTCTCTGCACAATCTTCATCCACGGGATCGTTATCAAAAGGACATGTCAGTGAAAAAAAAAAAAGTCGCCACCTATTGTGCCTAATGGACTTCTAATATACTGACTCTGATTTTTTTAATGATTTTTTAAAATGACAGACGGCAGAACTAGGCTACGCCAAAACTCGCCTGCTGACTGAATGAATGAGGAAATCAAATGGAGTGCGTGGCTCTGAAAGAGGGCGGAGACAGAAAGAAACTTGAGGTCCATTGAGAAAAACCTGGTCCCGACCAGGTTAGGTTCATAGAGTCTGTTACTACGGTAACTGACCGAGAGCTTAAGTTACCTCTCTCTCTCTGAAACAGGCTGGAGTTACCCCTCTTTCTCTGGTTTGAGTTACCTCCCTTTTTGAAATGGAAAACTCAGAATTTCCCTCATTTCAGGGTTAACAGACTCTGAGTTTTCACTAAACCTGCTTTGTGAAATGGACCCCTGCACAAAAGCAATAGCTCAAAAGGAGGGGTCGGTGTTTGTACACAAACCAGCACACACATAGCACTGGTAGGCAAAAGCATAATTCTCAAAACACAAAATATAGTGTGTCCAAAGCAGCGGGTGGATATGGCGAGTTGTCATGCTGCACTGCAAACCAGCAAAAGGGTGATTGACCCATATCCTAAGAAAGCGATATGCAGTTGCTCATTGGCAAAACACAAGCAGCACCAACGGTATCACTTATTTTTGTCTGTAATGTTACGCAAGAAAATACTGGTGATGAAAGCTGTGAAAAGGAAGAACTGGACACCGGGACAACTACCAGGGCAGAGCCTCCATTTTAATCCAGTGGACATAGAGATATTAATCCATGTATATGCTGACTGCACATTTCTATTTTTCTTTGTTTTTTATGTTTTAAATAGAGCCTGAGTCAGAACGGGGAAGCGTGTCAGTAACCTACCATAATAAAGTTTTAAATCATCAGTACGCCATAGCCTACATTACATTCAAATATATTCGTTAAGCTTTAATCTGAAGGGGACAAAGCACAGGGGCCAGCTACTGAAGATGAAAAAAAGTACATTAAAATATAACATATAAAAAATATAGAAATTAAATACATAGAGACATAAGTTCACAATCTGATCCAGTAATAATGTGGTTGGTATGCACTTAAAAATGCATAGGTTAAAATACAGTAGATCTTCAATTTTAGACATTTGATTGGATCTTGGTCTGAAAGGCATTTAGTGGCTTTATTTCAGCTACTTCAACAAAATGGTGTCTTTAACTTAAACACTGTCACTGAAATGCAATCATGTTCAGACACAGTCTATTCAAAAAACTAAAGTCAGCATCTGCACCACAATCTCATTAGAAACATTAACATATAATCTTCAGTATTATGGGAATTATGTGCCATCGGTGTGACCAGTTAAATTGTGGGTGACAGAGAGAATTATTCACTGAGCCTTTGTGTCTAAAGCTTCACACCAATTTTTGCTATTTAACCTGAGATAACCTGAGATTTAGTGGACTGATAGTGGACTGCTCTGACAGGCTGATGGCTGACTGCAGTGTTATAAAACAGAAGGGAGGCAGAGATTTGATTCTGTGCACAGTAGACTTGATCCTACATAACACATAGGGGGAAATAACTTTTGAACATGTCAGTTTTTTTCAATAAAACATATTTCCAGTGCATCTATTCACATGAAATTTACACCAGTTTGCAGTGTGTTTTGGATCATTGTCCTGCTGGAAGGTCCATCTGTGTCTCATCCTCACCGTCCTGGTGGATGGCAACAGATTCTTCTCATGAAATACCTGGTACATGACTCCATTCATCATCTCTTTGATGATTTGAATTCTGCTGCTGCCATGAGAAAAGAAACAGACCCATACCATGATGCTTCCACCACCAAACTTCACTGTAGATGTGTGTTTTAAGGTCATATGCAGAGCCAGTTCTCCTCCAAACATGACACGTCATACTATTGAAGAAAAGGTACATTTTGTCTTGTTTGACCACACTTAAGTTCTCCCAGTAATCCACAGGCTTTTCAAAATATGTGGCAAACTTAAAACAAGCTTTTGGGCAAAAATACAATGTGCCATGTTTAAGAAGAAAAGGTCTTTTAATGGTCCAGTTAATCACCGGACTTAACCCTGATACAACATTTGTGGAAGAAGATTCACCAGCTGGCCTCTCAGAATCTTCTACATTTTAAGACTCTGTGTGGAAGAATGGACCAAAATCCCATCTTAACACTGTGAGCCACTAATGTCTCCATAGAGGAAGCATCTTAAAAGCTGACATTGCAAACAAAGGCTTCTCTACCAATTAATTAATACATTTCAGTTGCTGTGGTCAATACTTTTCCCCCAATGTTATTTCACTTCATTGCACATAACTTTTTTAATGGACTGAAATGTTACACTTTATCAGTTGAGAATTATTGATTTAATATCAATGTCTGGAGTAAATTTCACTGGAAACATGTTATATGAAAAAATGTTTAATGTTTAATTCTTATTTCCCCCCACTGTATGTAAGGGCTAAACCTGCTGTTCAAAGAAATGACTGGCATAAAAGCAGTGACTCTAGACAAGTTAGTCCTGAGTAACAAACTAATACTGAACCAGAATTTTGATTGTGACATAGGCTACAGTAAACCTCCTCTGTGATACAAACTGAATCAATAAGGACATGTAAGCAGCGTATCTGTCTCTGTCAGAGGAAGGAGACAGACAAACTCAACCTGCCAGCGTGCAGGTTAACGTTAGCTTTACAGGAGTTCAAGATATCCCAGAGTTTCCCTCATCTCAGCATGAACTTACTCGGAATTTTCACTTTCTAAAACAGTTCAAATCATATGATCAATGGCACTGCCTGTGTTTTGTCCACCACCAACGTGTCGTCACTCCGTTATATCAGCTCGGTTACTCCTGTTAAACTGTTGTTAAATTGGGTGAAGTTTACTCTAGAATTTATTAACATTAACTGTGATCATCTAGCCACGCCAATAATATCTTCAGTTCTTATTTCCCGCATTGTGATATTGTAATCACTCGCCTGAGGCTCAATTGTTCTTCTTCACGTTACTTAAATATCATTCTGTACCACTATAGCAGCTGACGTTACAGCATTAACTGTCCCAGACTGTGGCTACATTGAGCAAAATGCTCATTTACGACTGGAGGACCTAACGTTTGCATTAACGTGACGCTGACTAAAGCCTGATTTATGGTCCTGCGTTAAATCAATGACATTGCTACGTTGTAGGGTACGTGGCTACGCCGAAGGCTCGCCGTAGCCCCCGGCCTAGCCTGACGTGCACCTCCCCATAAATGTAAAGCCTGATTTATGGTCCTGCGTTAAATCAACGACGTCGCTACGTCGTAGGGTACGTGGCTACGCAGAAGGCTCGCCATAGCCTGATGTGCACCTCCCCAAAAATGTAACTACACATCGAGGCGACGCAGACCCAGCGCAGACCAAGAGGGCTGTGATTGGTTTGCTTGGTAGCAACGCATTTCCGGTTCCGTATTTCCAGATTGCGCCATCCCCGCCATCTTTAAACATCTTCTGTTGCNAAGAGGGCTGTGATTGGTTTGCTTGGTAGCAACGCATTTCCGGTTCCGTATTTCCAGATTGCGCCATCCCCGCCATCTTTAAACATCTTCTGTTGCGATGTAGATGTTGCAGTATTAAGGTCCATTTATGCTCAACGTTCAATACGGATACGGATACGGACGGGAGCCGTCTGTCCGTGCTCCGCGTTCATTTCTCTGTGACCGGAAAAGCCGGAAGCTAAACAAATGATCAACTAGAGACGACGATAACCATTCAGGAAAGGAACGCAGCCTCCTACCGCTCTGGCGGTGAATTGCACCGCGACAAAATGGAGTAACGGAGAAGTTCGAAGGGTTCACGACGGCATCACGGCAACGACGTAGGTACGTCGTAGGTACGCCGCAGGACCATAAATCAGGCTTAACTACACGTCGAGGCAACGCAGACCCAGCGCAGACCGAGAGGGCTGTGATTGGTTTGCTTGGTAGCAACGCATTTCCGGTTCCGTATTTCCAGATTGCGCCATCTTTAAACATCTTCTGTTGCGATGTAGATGTTGCACATATGTGGCAGTATTAAGGCCCATTTATGCTCAACGTTCAATACGGATACGGACGAAGCCGTCTGTCCGTGTTCCGCGTTCATTTCTCTGTGACCGGAAAAGCCGGAAGCTAAACAAATAATCAACTAGAGACGACGATAACCATTCAGGAAAGGAACGCAGCCTCCTACCGCTCTGGCGGTGAATTGCACCGCGACGAAATGGAGTGACGGAGAAGGTCGAAGGGTTCACGACGGCGTCACGTTAACGACGTAGGTACGTTATAGGTACGCCGCAGGACCATAAATCAGGCTTACGTTAACATTAGTTGACAGTAAACTTACCACGGTATGGCTTTGCCAGAGAATATTCCCGCTTCAAAAAGTCCTCCATAAAGTCCCGGTCGTCTGCCAACGACTGCCTCATCAAAATACACACGGTAACAAACAAACATGTTAATTCACGGATGTTTTTCCAATGAAACATTGGACATATGAACCAGAAAGTTCTCAATCGATCCGGGTATGACTTAGTTACAGCGGCAACCATCTTTACACTCCTTACAGTCACGTGATTAAAAAAGACCAACCTCACTCTACTTCCGGTTATTACTTTCCAAATTAAAAGCTCTGACAAACTTGATAACAGGCGTTTAAGTCAAACAGTGTATTCAGAATTACCTTAATGGGTAATTCCCAGCATTCGATGCCATTTGAGTCTCTATGACATAGTATTTTGTGTAAAAATGGGCCTACACTTCTTTCTAAAAGCTTGTCTTTCATTGTTAACCCACGTCTGCCATATAACAGAATTATTGTAAGATAAGATAAGATAAGATACACCTTTATTGATCCCACAATTGAGAAATTCCAGTGTTACAGCAGTCAAGGGTAAAGAGTCAAATTAAAGATTTCAATATTTAAAAAACTTAAAAAAAAAAAAAAAACTAGGCATGCAGAAAAAAAAGTACAAAAAATACAAGAAACAGCAATAAATAATAATAATAAGAAGAAGAAGAATGATAATGAGCAGTGGATAAAAAGTGAGCAATGGATTAAAGTGAACATATTTAGTGCAAGTGAATATTGAATGTGCAAATAAACAACAACATAGGGGACAGCAATGCTTATTGTGGTGTTTATAAAGTGTCCATAAAGTGTCTACTGTGAGCAGTGCTGGTTATGTAGCCTGACAGCAGCAGGCAGGAAGGACCTGTGATAGCGTTCCTTCACACACTTTGGGTGAATCAGTCT